TCTCCTCTTAGGTATGCGTGGTACACACCCGCACATGCCAACACTAACAGTTGAGCCTGGAGTCAGTTGTGTTTTAACTTGCAAAACTCACTTGTCCACATGTCCTCAGTTTGCTCCAGTGGGCTCAGAGCATGAAAATTCTGTCGCCTGAAGGGCAGGTGCGAACGATGGAAGAGAATGCTCTGGGGTACATGCACGCAAAGTAAAATGCACGGTACTTCGGAGTCTCAGCGATAATCAGGCCAGTAGTATGACAAATAGCTACGAGGTGGGAAAAGCGTTGGTACAGCAGGTTCGTGTACCCAACATTGCTCATTAGTCTCAAAGAGAGAGAGAGAGAGAGAGAGGATCCTACATAATATGTTCTAGCCCAGTTCTCTTTTCTCTTTACCTGCACTGAAATTAGGTAAAACACAGATGGTCTTTAACTTCAGAAGAGAGAACTCTGTTTATTTGAGGCAAACGAGGTCACTTTTATATTGGAAGAAATGTCCCCAACACTCATAGATGCTTAAGTGAGCTTGCGCACCCCAGAGGGTCTCCAGTAACATTTCCCAGTGGCCCCAGAGAGCTACAGATATTATTGCAAAGATGTCACGCCCTCTTTCCTCCCTCCCCCAACCAAATGGGTATCATGCTTGGAGACGTCTAAGCTGCATTTTTTATTTGGAATTTTGTCCAAGCCCTAATGGTATTCGCTCTTATTGACTTGCCAAAGTTGCAAAGAATGTCCATGCCACCACTCCACCAGAACTTTGCACCTTTCAATGTCGTTTCTAGGGTAGACTCCTGGATGCTCTATGCTGTATGTAAGAGACAAGATTCCTTGGCATACAGATTCAGCTCTCTGTGACAGGAGAAATTCATGTACAGTACCTTTTGTTCTTTTATCCAGGGTTCAGAGGTTATTTAAGAGAGAAGGACACCATGTCCCCCTGCCTACATCACAGGAATTCCTCCAAATAAATAGGGCTGAGCAAATAAACATCCCAGCTCAGTTGGCAACTGCGTCAGCTCAGGTAACTTACAGGCCTCCTGAGGAGGTGACCGTTTCAAGTTCCTCCACTGGGGATTCTTTGCGTGAAAGACAGGCTGCCAATTCTGCACCAGAGTCCAAACTGAGCAAGTCCCTGTGCACAAGTGCCCCAGAGGGTGGGTGCCACTGAGTGGTCAGTCAGGTCTCCAAGGCAGATCTCTGTGGTGCCACTACCAAGAACAGAGGCCTCCAGGTATCTGTCCACATGACAATCCCCTCACATGAATCAAGTTGAAAAGTGTAGGCAAGTGCAGAAGTTCTAGGGTATTTATTTCCCCATCTGACAGATAAAGTCAGCTCTCTTTTTAGGTTAAGCATTGTTGTTGGGCTCATGGCTGAATACTAATGGCACCTCATTCACCCTTTAAACTCAGCATCGCAAGGAAAAGTCATGAAAATTTACCAGCCCAGGAAACAAAAACCTACTGGCCCTCTCTTTACGACGATGATTTATAGTGATGAGAAAGCAAATGGTGTTTTAACCACTTGAAAAAAAGAGAAGTTACTGGCACCAGGTTAGTAGTCGAGACACAAATCTAATCATCTCTAAACTCTTCATAGTTAATCGCAGTTCTAATACCATCCACCTCGTCTTAAACCATATCTACTCTAAGAATACCACCCTAGCTAGGTTTCTTAATTGTTCACAGCTGTTAGCTAGTTAAACCATGCATGTCCTGGAAATCAAGATATAGGATGAAATATTTGAAGCCAATGAACAAATTACCCTTCAATGTTTTTACTAAGAAGTAACTATTGCCAAATCTTTTATATACAGTCTTATTTCACCTCTGGAATAGGGACACAAATGAAATCCAGAAGGCTGTGATTATTTTCATTCAATTAAATCCTTTTTTATTGTATTAAGTGTCTGTTCAGTTCTACTCACTAGTAAAAGGATGAGAATGACATAAAGGTGCATTTCTGAGGTACTTATGTGGCCCCCCTTACTGGGGTATCAGAGCACTTCACAATCTTTAACATATTTATCCTCCCAGAGCGGGAGGTGATGTTATCCCCATTTTACATACAGGAAAACTGAGGCATAGAGAGGCTAAGTGACTTGTCACTGTCAGACAGTCTGTGGCAGCACAGGGACAGGAACCCAGGTCTCCCAAATCCTAGACTAGTACCCTGACCACTGGACCATCCTTTACTCTCTGAGAGACCTGCTCATATATAGGCTAAGATTCAGTACTACATTGAGGTCTGAGATTCCCAAGCTTATTGAATGGGGTGGAGTTACGCTGGCAAGAGAGTTACATCAGGGTAAACTCGGAATAATACAGTGGTTAATTGGGCCCTGCAACTAAAATGCAGTGTCATGTTGGCAAAGTCCTTGGGAGCCTAGGTACCCAAATTAATCATTCCATGCTTCCACAGTTCAAAAAAACCCCAAAACCCAACCAACCCAACCCCCTCCATCAAACGATGTTTTTAACTAGACCCTCGGATGTTCAAATATACTCGTGGCATTTCATTGCAACAATTATAGGCTCAGTCCTGCTCCCACTGGAATGAATGGGAGGATTGCCATTCACTTCAACGGGAGAAGAACCAGGACCTAAAGCAAGAGATTGTGATGCATCATTTATACAACCCCCAAGGAAGGAATATTCAGTGTAGTCACTCAACCATTTCTCACATGAATAAATAAAGCCTGAATGATTATTACACAACCCAATTTAAAAATGTGAGGGTTGAAACCTGATCTGCATAGTTAGAGGGTGGCTGGGTACACCCCAAAGCCCAGCATACAGAGCAAGCATTCCTGGAAGCGCTAGGCTGTTTGGCCCGCCAATGCATGTAGCAGCTGTCCTTTCACCAAAGGGGGTGGGGCTATCCACACTGGAGGTGTGGCCAGGCCCCTCCCACAGCTGCTGAACACTGGCACAGTGAACAAATGTTATATTTTTCCAAAGCATGCACAAGTCCAGCTACTGATCATGCTGCTCACGTGCCCTTCTGAGGCATTCTGCTCGCTCTACCACCACTAGGAACACATCTTTCACTAGCACTCCAGGGTGGGCCAAATGCAGAGTTTGGCAGTACAGGAGTACGATACAAGTAGATGCAGAGTGCACATTTTCACTGTAAAATGCCCGTAAGTGTTAAGGATGTGTTGGTGAAGGTTTCTTTAAAAAGGATGTCAAATGCCTTCTTTGTAGAAGGAGAATCATGTGATGGTAGGATCAGAGCACAAGACTAAAAAATATTAAAGATATAAGCAGATTAAACCCTCAGCATCAACCGTTACACTCAGTGGCTTTGGACAAACAAAAATTTACATGATCCTTGCTTCTAAAAGTTTTCAGAAAACTTTTAAAGCCCCTTTAGTAAAATACACTAATTAAGTCCTTGCTCAGGGTCAGGGTATGTCTATATTACAGAGCCTATACTGGCATAGCTATGCTGTCACAGAAGGAGTATTTCTATTGATGTAGAAACCCCACCTCCCTGAATGATGTTAGCTAGGTTGCGAGAAGCATGCTTCTGTCGATATAGCTGGGTCAACACTGCAGGTTTTGCTGGCATATCGATGTCGGTGAGCAGCGTGGTTTTTCCTCACACCTCTGACTGAGATAGCTGTGCTGACATAACTTAAGTGTAGACCCAACTCTGGCAAAATTCCAACCTACAACAATTTTGCCTTTCTTAAGGACTAGGATTTTGTCTTCAGAAAGATGGAGTGAAAACTAAGAACGTACTTTCGTTTTGTACCATATACCATTTAATGTACCCTTAGGAGTTCAGGTAGTTCAATTGCCAGCCTTCATTGGAATGGAATTCAATGACATGAGGTACATCCATATTGGCCATACAAGTACCATTTTGCTGGGCATACATCATAAAACGAGGTTCTATGCAACCGGGCCAGCTGATGTTCCAACATTCAGAAGACCTTGCCTTCATTTTAGAGCAGCACTCCCATTTGTGGACATAACAGAGATTTAAATAAGATTTCATATGTAGGGACAGATTTCCACTTTACGTGGCTTTCAGATGGAAGTTACATAGCGATGGTTTTGGAGAAGAGGATTCCTACACACTCCGTCATTTGCTAGAATACAATGTATAGAGGGGAAAATCAGCCTCATTGTAATAAATTTTTACCCCTATGGTGTGATCAAACAAAATCACTGTCTTACAGTCAGGAAAAACAAAAACAAAACCAACTGCAAGCAAGAACTGGCTCCACCTGTGATTGGATAACACAATACTTGCAAATATGTTTCTGCATTTTTTGTCTGCAAAGCAGGTGCAAAAGAAGTAGTAAAGAGAGCATCTGCTAAAGCATACTTCAAAGCACAGTTATCTCAGGACTAATTTTGATCATCCTTTCCTTGGATAACAACCATTTCATGATGCAAAGTATTATATTATATATTATATTATGATGGAACTTTCCTTAATAGCTATTCGGGAAATGCAAATAAACTGGAAAAAAAAAAAGCTACAGACAGTTTCTCCTGCCACAGCATTTTTATCTCGGACAGTCTGATGCAAATGCAGGCTATGTATTGACTTTAACCTATCGGATTCAAAGTACAAGTGCCTGTGAGAGCAAGTAACCAGTCTCTTGAAAGGCTATGATAGAAAGGACAGTCAGTTTCAAAAAACAATTTTCAACACATCAGCCTGCAAGATGCATTTTACACAGCACCAACCTCTCAAACAGTGATTTTACAACACAGACGCACAGAGCTGATTCAATCATTTGAACAGAAATATTTAACGACACCTCAGACTTGTAGATTTCAAATCTGACTAGTTATCTTAACACAAGGGAGGCTGGAAGCGTAACTTTAGCACGAAGCTGTTAATTACTACAAACGTGCTGTCTTATTAAATGACTCTTTAATCACGTTATTAATACACACATGCCACTACTAGGAATTAGTAAATTTCTCCTGGACAATACTCTGGTATTTTTAGAAGCAAACAAAGATTGCCATAGGTTTACCTGATAAACTTCTCTGAGACCGCACCATGTTCTCATCACTTGATGGCAAGCTCTCATTCTCTGTGTGTACCACCTTCTCAAAGTTGTTACTGTCAAGTTCCAAACAAACCGGCTCCCACTGAAAAGCAAGTCTTCTACTCCGCACATGAATACCGAAGCCATGATCTACTCTTTCAAAATTCTCTCTTCCTGACTCACTCTGTGTACTCACTTAAATGCCTGCCGTTAGAGCAGCTTCATTTTATATGGAGTGCAAAGGGTAGGGGTGTTGCGAGAAGCCAGGGTCAAATCTTAAAACAAACTCCTCTTTCACTGTGCTTCCTGGGCAGACACGGAGGCATGCCCTGGGTGTTGCTTGAAGTCCAGCCAATGGCTGCAGTAGCTCAGCCCAACCAGAAGCTCACACAGCAGCCTTGTACTTCTTAACAGCTTATATAAATCTCTGTTAAGCTTCAGTAGCCACCACTATGTATTCTAATTAAATGTTAACCCCTTTTCCATGTGCCCTGACAACAACCCCGTGTATATACTACAGGAAAAGAACTGAGGGAAGTAGTCCTGAGTAATACTCTCCACATTTTGATATTCAGCAGGCACTACACACATACCTACGGCACAGTGTGTACACACACACACACCCCCTCCCCCGTTTCCATCACCTCATTATCTGCCTGAAAGGGAACAGCGCTGTCATCTGTTCCTTCTGGCTGAGCTGCTGATCAAATAATACGTTAGAAATCCTGCTTCAAACATCTTCAGGAGTAACACACGGGAAAACACTTCAGAAGAGCTCTCACGGCAAAAAATATATTAATGTCTCTTTTAGCTTGGCTATCGGAACCTGCAAACAATGTGAGGAGAGCATCCCCCTGGATGACACATTTCACGTTACCATATGCCTCCTGCTTAGTAACTGCACCTTATAACGCTGAATAGGCCATCAGCCTGCTAAAGAGAAATACTTTTGAGCTACTGTTAAATTAACATAATCTTATTAATGCAGCACTTGCTGCATTAGAAAAGCAAACAGCCTCCTGCAAGCTGAGCACCTTCGCAAACAGACCACAGTACATAAACACTCTGAAATAAGAGCCCACAAGAGAATCCCAGGCTTGCCTCAATAGTCAGTATAAAATTAGGCATCAGCTCTGAGGCTTTAATTGTTAATGCCAGAGAACTACACCTTTTGTTTGCAGGCTATTTCTTATTAAGAAGCTAATGGGTTTTGAAGAAAGCCGTCAGTGGGTAGGTTTTGGAGGTGACCCCTAAAAACACAAGTAGTCTGGAAAGGTCGCTTTTCTTCGACCACACAATGAACGGGAAGTGACAGAGTAGGGCGCTGCTGAATCAACAAACCAAGGTGTGCATAGAAGAGCTGTCATGTCCGTACTTTGGCAATAGTTTGGCACTGGATAGTTGTAAGACCCCACTGAAAATTTTCACTGATTCATTTCATATAGAAATTGTGACATATGGTGGATATATGACAGTGCGAGTTGCCATATGTGCCAACAGCACTGAAATCAAGTACCACAGAAAGAAAAAGCACAGAGGAAAGTCCCAGTCTTTTTGGGAAAGGAATAACCAAAGGAGAGAGACAGAAGAAAGAATCATAGAATCATAGAATATAAGGGTTGGAAGGGACCCCAGAAGGTCATCTAGTCCAACCCCCTGCTCGAAGCAGGACCAATTCCCAGTTAAATCATCCCAGCCAGGGCTTTGTCAAGCCTGACCTTAAAAACCTCTAAGGAAGGAGATTCTACCACCTCCCTAGGTAACGCATTCCAGTGTTTCACCACCCTCTTAGTGAAAAAGTTTTTCCTAATATCCAATCTAAACCTCCCCCACTGCAGCTTGAGACCATTACTCCTCGTTCTGTCATCTGCTACCATTGAGAACAGTCTAGAGCCATCCTCTTTGGAACCCCCTTTCAGGTAGTTGAAAGCAGCTATCAAATCCCCCCTCATTTGTTAAAGAGTTAAGAACAGCTAAAAAGAAGACAGTTGAGCTATTCAGAGAAGAGCAGCTCAACACAGAGGAGTGGACAAAGGCATAGCTAGTCGGCTTGCTGGATTCTGATAACAAGAAGAGGAATGGTGGTCCAGGTTCACAGAGAACATCCAGCCCATTGGCAGAAGGTCCAGCAGGCAGGGGAAATCTTGGAGTCAACTCCCCAGAGAGAAACAGGGAAGAGGCTGACAGAGGTAACATAGGGGCTCCATCAAGACCAAATGTATTACTGCAACAGGAATTGGGGACAGATCTACAGGTAGGCCAAGAGAAGGTACAGCTGGATAGGGACAGACTTCATCTGGAAACTCAGCTACTTGAAGAGCGGCAGTGAGAGATTGCCGACAAAGAGAAGATAAAGAAAAGGCTCATCAACATCACCTAGAGACAGAGAGGCTTTGTCAGGAAAATCCTCATCTGGTAGATGAGTCAGACCCCAGGTGCCCGTGCTGGTGGGTGACAGAGACTCCAAATTGTTCCCTCGCTTTAGGGAAGGGGATGACATAGATGTGTCTCTAAGTGCTTTTGAAATGGGGTGTGAATTGAACAAAGTGGGGCTAGATGGCAGGACAGCAGGTTCCAAAACAGGGGGTGGGGAGCGCTAGAGGGAAGGTCTGTGCCTGGAGAGTGTGTCTAGCGACCTTGAGATTGGGGCAGTGACCACACTTGGTTCAGGCTCCAAGACCCTGAAACACACCAGGGATCCAGAGCACAGAGGCTTGTATTCCCCTCACATCAGGGGTCCACACTAGGATCTGAGATAAAAACGTTGATTTATTGCAAAATTTGAAGGACTAAACATTTTTGGTAACTAAGCACACGAACACACATATAGCCCTTTTTGTGCAAAGTTTCTACCAGTTGGAGTCATGCAATGGCTTTTTAAAGTGTTTGGAACCAAAGGAGGGGTAGCCTTAGGACCAGTCACATGGCCTCCTTGCATAAAAATAACAAGGACCCTGTAAAGTAATGATCCCTTTGTTATGGATGGGCAAACCAAGGCTCAGTATCGGAACCAGCAGATCACAGTATCTCTTGAGGAAGTCACTAAGGACCCAATTTTTGGACATGTTCAAGTACTCCAGTTCCCCTAGACTCCAAGTGGAACAGCGGGAGTGCAGCACTTCTGAAAAATCAGACCCTAGATGTTTCCTGGCCTATGTTCTGCCCTTGCCATCTGAAAACGGGAGCAAAGAGGCCTGGTTTGACCTGAGTAATTCAACATGGAGGTGGCTTAATTTCTTGGAAGACAGGATTAGGGAGGTAACTGGCTAGGCAGGCTAAAAATGGACCGTTTGTGCTAAGAGAAGTAAATGGGTCAGTAAGCTAAAAGACAGAATGTCTGGACTAGCTAAGATACAAGTGGGAACACCCAGGAAGCCATTTACTAAGAACAAGAGAACAATGGACAAGAGAAGTTGGGAGGGTAAAGATGAGGTAATGAGTAAAGTCGAACATGGACAGAGCGTGCTGTACAGGAACTGGTTCCTGCAAAGTAACGAAGCCAATCCCAAAACATGGGATCCAATGTGTAGTAAACGTAATGTGAGGTGTCAACGGATATAAAGCAAAGGGGTTTCTGTGTAACTTGGATGTGTGGTATGCCCTGTACACACTCCCTATGCTTAAAGCCTGATCAACTCAAGTGTAGTTTAATTGCATGCCAATAACGAAACCTCAGTGGCAGGTTCAGAGGTAAGCCGAGTACTTGGGAATGGAGTGGATAAGGTCTTGGATGCTACTGAATGGATAAGGTCCCAGAAGCTACCCCAATATCTTGATGCCATGAGTTGGATCCACTCATCTGGAGCAGATAGAGTATAGACTTCTTAGTGTGGGGGTTGCAGCCTAGCATTGTGGGAAATAGCATTGGAAGGGTTTAAGGCCTAAATCTGAAGAGGTTAGTACCATGCTGGCGAAATCAGTTAAATCTAAGGGCGGAGCCTATGGACTCCCCAGAGAAATATTAGGGGGAGATGGGACCTGAGCATAAAAACTCCAGAGAGTGGTATTAGAGGAGGGGGAAAATGCTTGGCAAAGCACAGCAGAGGTCCGTTAAATGCCATAAATAAATAATTGGCAAAGCACAGTGGAGATCTGCTAAATGCCACTAAAAGGACGCAGAGGCTATGCCAAAATGATGTTATTAGAGGCAAAATCTAAAACTAGACAGGATTTAAGGTGGCTCCAAGTGCTATTGTTCCTACTTTATTTATATAGTTGGGTGGGGAAAATATACACTTGTGCTCCAGAGTCAGGGGAAGCCTGCAGAGTCTGGGCTGTCCATTGCTGTGGAACACAAAGCCTAGAAACCCTATCTCAGGCCAGCTCTAGTATGTACTGACTTTGAGATGTTTGTGAGGTGCAATGCAAATGTGAAGTATTGCTCAGGCCAGGCACAGGCAGGTGGAGTTCTGGGCCAAGCAAGGCTGACGCTAGAGATTTTGCTGTCCTGGCCATCCAATCCCCACCTCCTCCCCAAGAGGCATTGGAAAGAAGGCAGCAGCTCTGGGGTAGCACTGGTTCCCACACTATGCTATTCAGTGGGGAGGCACCCAATAGCAGACACCCCCCCTGCCACCTTCTATTGTGTGGGGACATGCTGGAGCAGCTGCTATCAGTTGGCCACTGTCATTGGTGCACCTTTAAAGGGACTGTACCCGCACTGGCTCAGCTCCCAGCTGGAGACAGAGAAGGGAGATGGGCTGGCGGAACCCCTTTAATATGCCATAGGTGGCTGCCTAGGTCTAACATGGGCCCCAAGTCTGGGCTTACAGCCCTGTGCCCTTTCCTCTCAGTATTTCAACATATGGGGTGGGCTGTGAAAGAACAGTGCGAGAGGAAGAGCAGAATATTTTCAATAGTTCTTCACAGTCTCAGCTTTCATTAAAAAAAGAAAAAGCCACTTTATCATTCATGGCTGTGAAAAAAAAGTCTTCACAATGGGAGTACAGAAACTATCCCTGAGCTTGCAGGGAGCCTAAAACAATCTCTCTAAGTGTGAACTTCCCCACTCTATTCAAGTCTTGTCTATACTATATAGTCCTAAATGGTGCTCATCAACACAGTATCCGAGTGCCTTCCAGTAGCACATTAAGCAATGTGACTACACATCACAGGTTTGTTCTCTCATATTGCTCCCAGGGGAAGAAGCACGTGCAGTGGCTGTCCTGTTTCGGTAGGGGCTTTTCTTTATTTAATACACCTGCAAATCATATAAGAAAGAAGAGGGCGGAAGGATCAAATGAGGAAGATGGTGCACTGGAGAAGCGCAGAAGATGTATAGATTAAGAAGTGTA